AATGTTTTCTAATTTTCCACATATCCCTAGAAATCTCACATTTCATTTAGCAATTTTCCTCTTCTTTTTTTATAGAATAGTAGTGTTAGTCCCCACCCGGAGATCCGAACGGGGGACTATTTTACCTCCGGAATTTTTTAACTCTACTTTATTCTTCATCAAAAATCATTATACTCAGGAAATATAATCGTTTTATATTAATTTGATAACTGATAGGCTTCCGAATTGATTTGCCCTAAGCTCTAAAAATTCTTAGGACAGCTCTGAAACGAACATCGGTTGTCCGTTTATCGAAGACGTGTTGAAGTTTAACCACGATTTTTCGTTTGCAACATAGGATGCGGTAAGTACGTGCACAAGAAGTGTTTCTTTAGCGACGACGGAATGACGGCGAAAAACGCGAGCATAGATGCGGAACAACCCACGGTGACCGTCATCTATAAGTCGATTCTCAAAGTCCAGAAGTCGCCAGTGGACATGTTGCCAGAGGCATTGCGCAAATTCGAGTTCGACCGTGGGCCGGAACTTACGTCATCGGCGATGGTCAACTGCGAGGTGAACGTTGTCACGGAAGCCCTTCGAAGAGCCGAGGAGAGACGGCGCCTAAGCGATGCTATCGCACGGGTAGCGAGGAAGAACTGGCAGAGGAACCGAATGATCGAACTGCCGACGGCGGACGCGGCCATCGTGAGCAGACAACGACCGGAGATGAGCGTTGTCCCGGCCGACCACAGTGCTGCCACGCTCAACTCATTCTGTGGCCCGAAACCCGCCGTCGTCCGTTTCGACGAGGTGGTGCTGACGATCGACAGCAACCGAACGGTGAGTGAAGTACCGCTAAACGACGTACCGTCCGTACTCAGGTCGCGTAAGCGCAGTGGCACACTGTTGCCCGTGGTGGAACACAAAAATGGTGATGATTTCCCCGGGAATTGTGTAGTGAAGTCGATGTCGTCGTGTATGGATAACGGGAGCGAAGTGAAGGGTTACGAAACGGCTGAAGACTTGGTCGGGACAACTGATGAATACAGGGTGCCGGAAAAGTCGTCTTCGGCCACGACCAGTGCTCTCGAGAAGAGACCGAAAGAAAGGGAAAGCTTCCATAAGGACGCTACCGCGGCATTGCAAGAGCAACCCTTTAAAACAAAGGCGACGGTTGAGGCCGCGGAAAGTGATGCGCTCTCGTCATCGTCATCGCCGGTCCGCCACCGCCATTATGGTATCAGGTTAATACCCAGTTTCGTCTGGCAGTTGCTGTTATAGTTGTAATATTTTTCGGTTCGCATGGTGCGAATCCGTTCGCTTTGGTTGAAAAACTGTATGTTTGTTTTCTTCTATCTTGTCACAACGATTCTTACAACTATTGTATTTCGTCGGATGTGGAACGGATCAACCGCAATGGTGTCCCTCGTACGTACGATCATTTCGGTTTGTGTTGTTTATAAAATATAATTGTAATTACTTAGATCAATTATCATAAAATATATCAATTTTCGTTACAACAATGATTTGTAATCAAAAAAATAAAATAAATATTAAAATATTAAACAATTTAATATGTTATAGTATAATTAAAAACCATTAAAAGTACATATTACAATTTTAGATTCTGAGTGGAGCGAGGAATGTAATGGTTTTAAAATTATGTTTATTTTTTTTTATTTTTCATTCTGTAAATACTTTTTCTCCTTTTAAACTTGCTTAAAAGTTTCAAGTATAGCATCTTATCTGAAAGGTTATGTTCTTGAGTTGGTACTTAAAAGAGGTCATTTTCAAAACGGTACTCTAAATAAAAGCGATTAAAGGAGAAAAAACGTACAATTTCACGATTATATAATATTAAATAATTACAGACGACGTTTTTTACCAGAAATATTGCTTCAAATGAAAAATAATAAGAGACCTTTTTCGTTATATTTCGGATTTTGTTTCTTACGGTTTAAAGTTCGGAAAATTTTAGCCATTTTTGAGTTATTTGTAGACATTTTAATTTTTGGAGTTTTTTGTTAAATACTGTTAAAAACATTCATAAAAACTTGAAATTTGGTTTGTTTACTTATATTATCCTTACCTAGACATGGTAAAATGTTCAAAATATTTGAGCGATTTTTGAGATTTTTCTTTTATTTTATATTTTTTTTTATTTTTATGATATTTCCTAAATATAAATTATAATTATAATTGTATAAATTACCTATTTATATAAATAATGATTTATATATATATATATATATAAGTTGTTCTTAAAACGCTTTGTTTATCACCACAGAAACGAATAAAATTAAATAAAAAAGATTCCCTCATCCGCTCAGAATCGTTTTTTATCGAATGCACCATTGCATTCAAATCGAATACAGTAAAATTACACTATCCTGTCTGGGTTTTTTTTTCTCTTTTTATACAAAATCGCCATGATAATGACTGATTACTGGAGAATAAATATTGTCTGTTTACCTACTTATATTTTATTTTAAACTCAAATTATAGGCAATGCGATGTAATTGTTCTTTTATATAATTTTATCTCTTAAATTAGTGCATGAATACATAATAAATACATTTCATTGTACGTTTTTGGTAAAAACGAAAACACCATAGTTTATGACTCGTGAGCTTAGTTATGTACTCTTAGGTAAAGTTGACGTTAATTCGATGATTTTACTTTGAAATGATGCGTAAAATTGTTGCAATGCAAAACAACAAATTAATTGTGAAATAAATTACTTCCTTCGTTAAAACTGTTTACGAATTATGAATTACATATCCAAACCAAATCGTCATTACCATTTGGTCAATAATAAATACAATCTCAAATACATAATCAATTTGAACGATAAAAACAGCAATTATTTTCGAGGTGGTTGAGTACGAATTGATTAGCAATTTATTTGAACGCGATTTATAAATACCATACTATCAATAGACAAATTGATTATGTTAAACGTGTACCTATTGTTTAAGTTGTACCTTAAAGGTGGTGGTGTAATAATAGCAATAAATAAACAATACTTTCTTGCGTGTTACCTATATTTATAAGACCCATTGAAAATATATTTGATATTGTTAAAATTAATTTTGATTATATTGTCTTCGGCAGTGGCGTTCTCAGGAATTTTCAATGGGGGGGGGGGCTCTGAAAATTTACTAGAATACAAAAGTGGGGGCTTTGCCCCCCCCCACCCCCCTAGTCATAATAATTACAAATTTTATACTGTTTTAAAAAACCACATTATCACAAATTGTCACCAAATTGTTAAATTGATAGCGTGGTCGTGTCATAGAACATGTTCTATGGTCGTGCTCCAATCCAACTTGATAACCTTGATAATGATAACTAATGGCATATAAATCTCTAAATTATAATCAATAAAATCAATAATCAATTATTATTAAACTATTGGAATAATTTTAAAAAGATACGGCCAATGGGAGGGTTCAAACCCCATGAATCCCCCCGTGAGTACGCCACTGGTCTTCGGTAATGTTTACTTCCCACCTCGCTCACTCATCTCGGTATACAATAACCACTTTAATATCATTAATACATGATCTTTAAGCAAGGCTGGATTAAGAGGGGATCTAGCCAGGGTGGTAGCCCCGGGGCCCTCTCGATTACTCAAGTGAAAGGGACCCAAACAATTTTAAGCTGATATACATTTTTTATCATATTAAAATTAGTAGTTTTATAGACATAAATTGTATATATCTATTAATTTTATAATTTTATAATGCAATTGACAATTTGTGAAATAGTTAAAAAAATGTATCATTCTGCGAGCTTAGCGAGCAGCTTTGTAAAGCATATTTTATCAAAAGGGCCCATATAAAATTTCAGCCTCGGGGCTCAATAGATGATTAATCCTGTCTTGTCTTTAAGTAAACATAAAGTAACATAAGTAACACACTCTCGAAATTTCAATCTCGATGCAAAAATATCTCTAAATCAAATTATCAAAATTACTTAAAAAATATTCAAAAAGAAATAAAATATCAACCCATTACATTTTGAAAATTTATAAATGATAAACACAAAAAAACTTCCTACCAGATTGTATGCATTTAAATAATAATAAAATTATAAAACAATATTAATTTAAAAGTTGTCCCTCCAAAAAATGTGTTACCAATGCCTTTATTTTCCTGTAAATTATTTTTCATTGAAGTTTACGCTGTCAAATCTTAATTATAAATATAAACCTGCACCAGATTTAATTACTAACCTATTTTCCAACAATGTAAGTTTATTTTTACTCCTCCTCTAGTTTGTATTTTCAATATATCTTTATCTGGTGGTTTTTTCCCGATACTTGGAAAACTAATATTGTTAGGCTTATTCCTAAAACGTCGTCGGACTCAGCTAATATTTTGAATTATATTTGAATCAATTTGTCGATTGTTTTTAGGTACGCGTTTCTTTTCGTTTCCAATATGTGTCATCTGTTACGCCAGCACCACGAAATAATTCAACTTAGAAGCCTAATCCGCTCTTTGTCCGAGTACCTAGTTAAATAGAGCTAATATTTATATTACACATCGATGGTGCTGTCGCTCTTTCGTCTATTGAAAAACCAAACTTAATTCAATTTTGGTAATGTATAAATACATCATGTCGGCAGAAGTGGATCTAAGGAGGGTTCAGGAGGTCAGCTGATCTATAGTTAATATTTGTCGCGTTAAATACTCACGGTTGAGTATATTCATTATAAGACTTTTTACTGTATATCATGGTATGTGACGTCAGTTTTGTCATATCTGTACTTGTTTAAAAAACAAAATCTGCGTTAGGTTTAAAAACAATTTAATTATTCAATTCGTTATAAATTTATCTGTTAGTATAATAAGTGTGTACGTATTAAAGACAATAATACAATAGTCTATGAATATGTACATCATTAATAAATTTATATGTATATATATTTAATATGTTTCCGTTTTACGGATAGTGAAGTGACAGGAAGGGAGGGAGGAAATGTCGCGTTATCGCGATAAAAACTACGTATATAATAATATAAGCATAGTGCGTGTGATAATAAAAACAATAATAATAAAATATAAATATGTAAACCACGTCTCGTTGCAGTGTTTGCGAAGTGCAATCTCAGTAGTGGACGTTAGAAAAGTGTAAAACAAGCTTGTTACATATGCCTCGAGTTGCCGAACGATCCCAGACCTGACTGGGAGGCTCCTTTGTTGAAACCCATCTGCAAGTTGAGATGGCCCTCGGACGCTCTTAGCTGGTCTTCGGTGAACTCTCTCTTGTTGGCTTCAGCCATCTTAGGGCCCAGTGCTGGTCCCGTGTATTCCGGGTGCTTTTGCGTCTGTGGGCAAACGGTTAATAATTACAGAGGGTGAGCAACAACGACCTTAGGTATATATATTAGCAAAATATGTTGGGTGCTACGGTCGATCGATTCAGAGAAACGTATACAAAATGAGAAATGAACGATTTTCGAAACAAATATATGAATGGATTGGAATTCGTGACTTAATATATGTTACACATTTTTATCTCGTTAAAATAAAATATCGACAAAATTATAAAATAAATGATAAATATTAAAATAAAAGAGATCTATTTTGAAACAAAATTACAATTTTTAACCATATACCTGTGAAATACATTTATGTAAATAATTTGTAAGCAACCCGGGGAACCCAATAATCCGGGAACCAATATTCGGTGGTTATGCCCTTCGTAACGATTCTGGGACCAATAAGATATTTTGGAAACAATTTGGATACACCGAGTTAAATGTCCTTTGTAACTAAATCCCAGATGGGTGACAATTCGTTGTGATTTAGCATAAAATTTATTTGCTCCGGTCGACAGATGAATATCTGATGATACCTACGGCCCGCGACGACTGCACTGGGTTAGGAAAAATACACGATATTGTTGACAAATTATTGCAGTAAAGACTGAATCGAAAACTGTACGATAGATAACCGATCATTCGCCACACGTAAAATACGTGTAATGAATATATACCGTATAGCTGTGGTGAATATATTTGGTCGGTTGCCTATCATAGAACTTAGTCCGATTCGATTTTTTTTGCATCACGCTGTATAATAATAATACAGGTGCTTGTGTAATTTAAGGATTTGTAAGACTAAAAAAAAAAATATTTCAAAGAGATATGAACAAATTTCGGATGGATAAGACACTATATATTATATCGACAGAACACAACTTAAAATATAGTGAATATAATGCATAATATATATTTAGCAAAGTAAATAAAATACTGCTAAGCAGTTTGCAGGTTTGACAACATGAATAGTGACTTATTGGTGTTTCTGACCCGTACTGTAAAATATAATGTTGTTCCTTCTTATCCGTGGAATTGAATAGTAAATTATTATAATCATGGTTATATATCGAACTATGGATAGCCTCAAAAGTTAATAATAATGTCCCTTTTATAGCGATTTATAAAAATTATGTAAATTGTTTCTAATCATCCTCTCCCTCCCCCATAACCCATTCAAATATAATGTATCCGTGTTCGTTTTCCTCCTATTCCCAACATTTATATATTTTACTATCATATGCCGACATACAGTAAGATACAATACGACAATGAAAGTAAAATAATATAATTTTTAATATGTGTACTTACTATACGAGCAAGGGCGTACAGACATAGCGTCACCTGCGGTATGTTTCTGCGTTCAAACAAGTCGGCCGTTTGAAAAATCTCTTCTTCGGGCACACCGTACTTCTTGATAGCCGCTTGAAATCTGCATAGAAGTAAATTTATTACAAATTATATTTTACTGATGTCTTAGTGTAGTTATGTGTTTTTAAAGAGCTCGGATCAACATGTTTAACCCGTAGTCTAATATTAATTGAAATGATAATTTATGAATAAAGATAATGAAAAAGATAACTGCACCGAGAATGAATACATATCGATTGAAACATTTAAAACTAACACAGCATAGTTGCAAGCTACAACAAACAAAATAATTAATATTTACCGTGTTTGTCAGTAAACTTACGGACTTGCTATTTTAGTTGTAGCATGACACTACTTAAACCGATCAAAATCATAGTAAATTAATATTTACTATATATTGATATAAACGCTTTTTAATCGTTTGTACTATTAACATATTTAGCTTAAGTGTCTACTGCGATGGAAAAATTCAAATCGAATATGGGTTCTTCGGCAGCGAAATACTATTTAATTACTTCGATAATGTCGTGAATCGACTGAATTTGCATTTTACCTTACTATGATCATTCTATATACCATATAAGATTTTTTCCAGATAATAATAAAAAAAATACGAATTTATTTATATAGTTTTAAGTATCTTTATATATCTACAGTCAGTGATGGCATATATTTGACTTAGCTCATTATTATGATATCCCCTATAGGCTGTACGGTTGTTATCGCTTTTTCCCCTCTATTACTTGAATTACATACGACAAATGAATCATAAAAGATCTGTATGCTTTTTGTTTTTTTAGTAAATACTTGAAAACAATATTATCGTAAATTGTTGTTGTATTTGAAAATCTAGGTTTTTTACAATTGAGTATCAACAATTTTGTAAAAATTGTATAGAAGTTATTACTCAGTGTTAGTTGTTTTACATTAAGCGGCTTAACGTTACGAATCTTACGGTTATCGACACGAAGAATAAGAACTCAGTGAGTATTCTATACTGATTTTTTATTTTTTTTTCATTGCATTACTTCGTGATAATATATTGTAATAATATGTCACGAAATAACATATTGTAATAATATGTTTAGTCTTGTGTTAAATTTGCAAAACAAGAGAAAGGGCGTGATTAAATGTAAACAATTTAAGCGCGCGCGAACACGTGATCGTACCGTTGGATGTTCTCCATAAGTTGAAAGTTCGATCCTTTGGTCTGGATCTTCTTTACCGATCCTGGACTAATCTTGTTGATCAGGTTGCACAGCACGACACCATCTTTGAGCTGATCTTCGTATGGTATGTTGGTCGGCATCTTCTCACCCAACACTTGACCGATCCACTCCAACACCTCCTGTTCTTGCTCCTTATTTTTAGCCTGCGAACACGAGCCGATTCTCAATCGATATATTATATTATGATATGCATAACATATTGCTAATGTAAATATAGTAAGGTTTTTAACCTCTACGGTACACAAATTCATATAAAAAAAACTTTTGAAGCCATGGAAAACCAAGTTAAGTAAAAAATGATTATTTCAATAACTTATTTTTTCATTCACATTAACAATGCAATCCGCATACACTGTGTGTGTCTACGACCAGAAATATTATACCTTTTCGTGAATCCAGTAGTGTAGCGAAAGGTAGGGTAAGGGAGCTATAGTCCCTCCTTAATAGGTCGTATTTATGTGTATATAGTAAACTAGTACACTACTATTTGGTACTTAAATATTTTAAAACTTTGATAATTACTAAATGTTGAAGAATAACCCGTGTCTGTCATTGATAAATACATAAGCGTATTACCTCTACCGTGATTACTATTATCTTTTTGGTGGTTATCGTGAACTTGGTGGTGATTCTCGTATATCAATTACATTTTATAATCACTATAGTTTTAATACCTTGTTATGTCGTGACGATGCTACCGCAAATAACCAACTTTATTATTATTAATTATATTTTAATAAATATTATTAAAACTATTTTAAAATGCTGAAAATACAATTTTAAATTTGCAGGGGGGTTATGGGTGAACTTTCAAAGTCTTTCTTCCCTAACCTACCCAAAAAAGTCTTTAGCCCCTCCCATTTAAAAATCCTGGCTACGCCACGGTATGATTCCCTAGAGAACTGCCGATTTAATTAATTTGTAGTATGATAACTAAGTTGTACGTTATATATACAATTATCATGATTAAATACGCTTTTTAGTATAAATTTCATTCTTTATTAAACGATTATTTTTAGACCTGGTCTTATATTACCATAAACGCCGCGTTCGAGAGCGCTTTAAACTGAAACAGACGATTGGTTTTTTTTTTGTGATTTTTTGGCGGTCATTCAATGTTAAAAGAGAAATAATAATAAAAACGTATCGTGTCTATGACCCTTGGTGTTATGATCTCTATACGATAACATTTCATTTATTTTCCTTTTTGACTATCGTCACATAATAAGTAAATTTCCTAACATTTTAACTATAAAGTTGTTTAAAGCTGTTTTATTCTATTCAAACGTATGTTTGAAATACGATTTTTTTTCGTTTATTTATCAACTATTACTGAACAAGCGTCGTTTCACGTTTATGTCAATAAGATGCGAAATAAACATGATATATCTTCTGTCGAATAAACAGACGACTTCGGTCGATATATATAACTAAAATTTGATTTATATATCATCTAAAAAAAAGTGGTATAATTGGTAATACTACAAATACGGATGTCGCACACCCTCACGTCCCATAAATGACATTACTGAAGAATGTAATTATACTAAATATATTTTTAATGTAATTTGTAGTTTATCTCAATTTAGGTGGTAATATGAAACATTTTAATTTATAATACTATAATATGTGGGTATGTATCATATCATTTTGGCAGTTTGACACTATAGAATATTGAAATCTAAAAGATAATTACATTTTCAAAACACTTGCAGAAACAGAATGTAAATTTATTATGAAATTTGGTCATCGGCGGCTATATTCTCTCATTACGCATGGACGTTTTAAACATGTTATAAAACATCCCTGTGATGACGATCGACGTACTAGTGAAATCGCGTGTTCTGCAATAATATGACGTGATAGTTTATTTTTACTACTTGTTAGTAATTTATTTCAAATTGAACATTAAGATTTATAGTTATTGCATCATACTATAGTATATCGTTTTAATTACTGGTGAAAAAATTGGCGTTCGCTTTTATCTTACGAGTTACTGAAATAGCTCCGGACGTGCTACATGTCCTGAGATCGGGGATAAGCGCTTGAATATGGATATACACATTTTACATAGCAGACTATTAAGCTGAGTTATAGCTTATTCCTCCAGGTCAAATAAATAAATTAGAAGAAAAAAAATTATAGGAAAAAATGCAAATTATAAAAACACTTATTTTGAAATTAAAAAAGCAACATTTTTACGGTAACCCTTCATTGAATATCAAGTTTTAACCTGTTGTCGTGAATCCGTGATCGATAGAGTATCATATAACGTTTTTATTAAATGATCAGAATATCGCTATAACCTAGAATTATATTAAAACCTGTACACACAACGTTTGAATGATGCAACTTTTGAATATTCCAACAATCAATTTAAATATCACAGTATTTTTTCAACATTATATAAATTCAGTAAGGATATTAAATCATCATTTTATTAAATCAACAGAACAAAAATCTTTGTTAATATGTTTTTTTACACTTTCAATTCATTGTTGATAACTCGAAATTCTTAATAAGCCAAGGGATATTTCTTACCATTTTTTATTTTATATTTTCTCAGAGATGAAACTGTGTTGGTGATTAGGTTGTCAGGATTAGTTAGTCAGAGCTGGATGAAGCACAATCCAAGAACATTCACAATAATAATTATTCGTAATTATTTAACGACAAACACAAAATAAAATATAAAAATAAATACAGGGATTGAGAGTGCGATATGGCAGTACGCCCACGTTCGTTTTGTACATATTATTATTTTTCGAAGCGTTGACGCGTGTTGTACAGTCGTACACGACTCACCGATATACTATACAAGTTTGTTTTTGATACTAATTGTTGTTATGTCTCGAAGCAGACGTGTATTTTTTTTTATAGAAAAAAATTGCCAATTTTTCGAGATGAATGAAGAACACTATTCTCGAGAAATATTTATGAATGGTGACAGCAGTGGTAGTACAAATAACCTTGCTTGTTTTTGTCTTCGCGTCCTACGCACTAGGTGAACGGATATTTTTGACATTTTGAAATAATTAGTCAACGTCAAACGGTAAATTATGAAGTAGATTCGCTCGTATAATGTGATCGTCGTTCGCTAGAAATACGCGCGAAAATTGGCACATCATCCGACTGACCACTGCTGGCTGTTGTAATAAAACTTCGAGATACGGTGGTAGATTTTTCAGTGTTTTAACGGATTAATATTATTATTATAATTTTCTTTTGAAATATGCTACGGGGAATAATAAATATACGTGATGGACGACTATTCACCTAATCGTTTTAGTTCTTTGACGAAATGACGCCTGTCACGCAAGTGACTTAGATGACGGAAATTTATTCTCGCGAAACTATTTCTATGTATAATATTATGTAATCGCCAAGTATTATGCGATGCAGTTATTATAAGCAAAGTGTTAATGCATTTCGGAAGTCATTTTTAATAATGCTGGTCTTTAAAATAAACATCGAGACCCTCGTTTATTTTTAAAATATGACTTCATCCTTTGGTTGTATACTGAGGGTTAAAATACGAATACTGTGATTTCAAACAATGACATGACCTCTTATAAATATATATATATGTGTGTGTGTGTGTGTGTGTGTGTGTGTGTGTGTGTCTGTATGTCTGTATCTTAGCGCGTGCGTGAGTGTAATTGTGTCTAATTTACAAGCTTTACAATATGTTCAAATGTTTTGCTGCCATTTATTGGTCATCTGATGAAACCAATTTCGATAATTATACGGAATACCGAATAATAGTAATATATTATATTGTCACTATATCTCATTTTCCTGTATAAATAAACTTAGAGTTTGAGTGAGAGAAAGAAAGAAACCATGACAAGGAGCCAAATAATACCATATGGCTAGTTTTGATTAAGCGTCAGTCAATCAATATGAAAACGCTATATATTTCTAACTTGGCCAATTTCCATTAGAATTCTAAATGGACTTTTGTATCAATTTTTATAGTCCAATAAACTTCAAATAAATTAAATAAAGGGTTTCACATCAAACAAAAGAGAATATTTTAATAATTTTAATATATTATATTTTTAATATATTTTAATAATGGTTACTATATACGTATTTATTATTTTTATTTGTGTAATAAATTGTGTATACATAACGTATTATAATAAAGAAAACCAATTGTCGCTTTTGACATTTCGTTGTTTCATTGTTGAATTAGCGATGGCTGCAGGATCGTCGACTTGTGGAATTTGTATTAAATAAATTTGTGTAAAAACATTAAAATTGTATATTATTAAGGAAATTATTTTTCAAGCCGTGTGTGTTAATTGTATGAATACCCATTGATAAAAAGAAAGTCATATTTTAAAACAAACTCAACCGATATAATTCGACTGGACAATGAAAGAGATATGTTTATATTTACATTCTTAAAAAAAAGCAACATTTTGATATGTTTCGTCACCATCAATCAACATTGAGTGGCTGCAGTCAAATACTAAGCTCTATAAACGTTATGCACATATTCGTGGACGGAAATATAAAAGTAGGAAATAATGAGTTTAATACTTTGTGTTAATACATATGATGGTATTTAAAATTGATATTTATTAATTTATTAAAAAAAATAAAATAATAGTTCAAATCATAAAATGAAAAACATCGAAAAACGAATCTATACATGTTTATCTAGTATTTTTTTTTTTTTTTTTATCACCAGTGACTGAGAACAGCATATAGAGTAAATTAGATATATAATTGGTAAATCTTTTCAATAATCTAAAATCAAAACAACTATGGACGGTTAAAAAAAGTTGTTGCATTTGCAACTCTCATTTTAGACTACTGTACAACGCGATTATTACAATCATAAGTTACATAGGTAATAAATTAAAACTAAATAATATAAAATGTTGGAGCAGAGCATAATTTACATACATTATAATTTTGCTGGATAAAAATAAACGACTAGTTTTATCGAAATTGTGTACTTTGTATACATGCAGATAATATGTTTGCGATTTTTACATTTTAAACTGCATAAGTTCAGCAAATGTTCAATATGGGCGTCTTTTAGAAATGTAGTACTAAAGTACCGCAGAGTAACCCGTTTATGACCCGTTTTTAATAGTATGATATACATGTATAAGTTTTCGCAGTTATTAGTTATTAGTACAAATACATATATTACGGGTGTATTTAGATGACGCCGTCGAAAAGAGCGTGTTAAAAATGTCCGTGTTGGAATTCGTTTTTCGCCGATAGCCGTTATTTTCAAAATAATGATTCACCCCCGTCCACACCCATCTACCATCATTATATCGCAACGTTCGTCAATCAACGCGCAATCGGTAACCACGGTCACCGCGGTCTTACCGGCATTTTTCCGTTCTATTCCGTCCACCGATGCTGATGTTGATCCCGACGCTGCGATTGGTGAAAACGCGTCACGCGAAATGATTTTCCTCGTCAAACGCGTAGTCTAGTTTTGTCCTCTTCTCTTAGCGGACCGTCGGAACTTCGCGCATCCGCCGCACGCGCTTACAGACAATGTTGCGTTGAATACGGTTTACGTTCGCGATGGCCGTCGTCGACGTGGACGTTTGACACGACCGCTATGCTGTTGCTGCTACTGCCGAAGCGAAAGACTACGACGGATTTTGCGGTGCGTATGCTCTCCGGTCCGATCGAACACACGGTTTTTATACGCTCGACGCCGATCCTATTCCGCGTGCGCGCGCGCGTACGTAGCCCGCGTTTATTTTTAATCTCGCGGCGGCGGTTTAATCGGCCGTTAAAAAGTCGAGGATTCTTGGTAAAATACGTTTCTCGCACACCCGCGCTTAGTTCGTTCGACTATTTTCATCTCTCTCGTGTACGCGTACCGTTATTATTTTTACCCGTACACATACATATATATATATATATATATTATGATACGAAACGTATAACGTCGTGTAAGCGAGCCGTGGGTATAATGGTACGTGCGCGCCAACGCCCCCGACGTGTACCAGTCGGGTATAATCTGCTGACTCCGAGTAAAGCGACTACCACAAATGTTTGCGCGCGTGGTGTGACAGTACCGCGATAGATAAACGCCGATAATATACGTCACAGACTTTTTCGCGCAACGGTTTCGTCCACCGGATATACATTGTACACTATTTCAAATAAGAGCGATTACTATTTCAATGTAAAACAAATTGTTGGTTGAAATGAACGCTCAACAGTCGTATATTTTTCTAATAATATTTATCCTATACCTCTATCGCTACAGTTATTAAATTTATCATATTTGACAAAATAAAATATTTCCCTAAGCAATCATAAAGTTGTAAAAAAAATATCCGGTCTAGAATCAAAATCTGTTCGACTCATAAAAATTCTATATACCTATTTTATGTACCTACATTATCTCAAAATTTCAAATTAATTGGTATGGTAGTTTTAGCTTTACGCTAATCAGTGAATGAATGATATTTGAAAGACATATATACGAGTTTATAATTGGATTATCATTGTCCGAACTTTACAGTAATTTTTTAACGCGAAATGGTTTTTGGAAATATATTTTTACACGTTTATATATTTTTATTCTAATAAATGTACAGAAGCCCAAAAATATATGACCAAGTACGTCAGTAACTCTCCTGTTTTCAGGAAAATAAAATCATAAGAATTTGAGCCTTATTTTTTGGAGGTATCAGCCATGGATTAAAATTTACTATGAATATTTATTTAATGTATATTTAAAATTAATTGAAATAATTTAAATACATTTTAAATGTGGTACGTATTATCTTAATGCATGCCTCTTGAATTTTAAAAATGTTCCCTCCTTCTCTTATCTTGGTTTGGATTTGTCCCTAACATAAACAATACAGTTTAATACACTTAAATCAAAGTTCATAAAATAAAAACTTTGAACTGCAACGTGTTATTATACCTAATTGTTCAGAGATACGCTTCGTATGTAACAATTGGGATCTTCGTTGCGATAGAATGCAATCATAATATTCCAATTCATTCATTCATTTCATAATATACCAATTCGAATTTTTACCAATTTTATTATATACCAATTAATTACCAATTTTTTTAACATCAGAACTTCTACAGTGATAATGTAATAACTTGTATAACCTACATACATATTTACGATACACCGCGTATATGAGCAGCGACCGCATATTTTTTGGCGGGTAAAACACGACTGCGGACGCTTTACTTTTTTTACAACCTGATTGCGGACGATCATTATGTAACAAAAGGTATTATTTTGCACCCAAAAAATGACAAGACTGCGGTCGAAATTTAATGAAACGTTGCCAAGTTGCACGACGCAGTTTATTAATATAATAATATATAATATAAACATTTAAAGTTAAAAATTTATAATTTTTCCTCCCTGTAATGACAACTAATTTTTTTTAATTATTTTATTGATGATTTTTATAATCATTATAGCTCTGAATAGTTAGGTTAATTCTATTTAAATCTTTTTTTGCCACCGATTTTTCTCGACCTTTTTTTATGGATGAAATAATTATCTCAGTTTCGCCTTGAGTTTCTTTTAAACTTCTTTAATTGAATTTCTTCTAACTGCAGTATTTAACAAAAATGACTTGTAACTGCATACTAAACTTAATACGCTCAAAAAATGTCCACATTCCCACATTATCGAAGTTTTATTTATAAATTTGGCAGAATGTGTCCGCAATAATGTAATATTTGGGGGTCCGCTAATAAACTATAATTTCGATTAAAAAGGTCACCCCGATAAGAACTGTCCACAGCGTGTATTACCGGTTTTGGCAACCCTCACGGTACCTCCGATTCGGACGGTTTATTCGCGAAGAGATGCGTGTGTGTGTATTATATAAATAATATATTATTATTAATATTCCGTGGACTCTCGGAATTACTAGCTAATTACATGGTCAAGTTACACTAACGGTCGAATAAATAAATAAATATAAAAAATATGGTCGATGAGAAACAAAATAATAATTGGAAAAGTGTTGCCCTGGTGACAGCAGTAACCACTCAGGGGGAACTCAACGTTGTGTTGAAAATGAATAGATAAATATAAGAAATAGTAAAATACATATTAAAGTTTAAGTGAACTATATAATTCAATAATAATAATAATAATAGTAATGTAAATAATAATAAAAATTATAATCAGGTTTGGTTATATAGCTACTTTGGTTCAAACGATATAAATAAATAATTAAAGTATAAAAAATATAACCAACAATATTAAAATGATATATAAAAAAAATATAATAAATGTATAAATTATATTAAAAGGTAAAACAGATGATAAATAAATTATATGGAACGATAATAATAATGAAGGGTAACTAAATAAATAATTCTAAATAATATATATACAAATATGAGATTTTGAGATATTGCTAAGCTAGTAAACTATATAACAAAAAGAACTATGTAAGGCACGTCTGCCACAAAAACCGTAAAAACAATAGTCGACAAAATAATACTCATAACATTTAACTGAAGTGGATGGTGGGTTTAATCCCTACGCTACCGCACCAGGGGGGTGTGAGTAAGTTGCGGCCCGGCGTGTCGTTTCCGGTGTCAAATACCGGTGAATTCCGGCCCGATAATATTTTAGCCGTAGGTTAGTTGCGGCCCGACAATATTTTAGCTATAGGTGAGTTGCGGCCCGAATAATTATCATTACCTATGTACCTATTGACTAGTAACTATAAGTACGATGCGGTGTTGGCTATACATTTAGTGATAAACGAATAATAAATAATATATTCTTGAAATGACAAATATTAATAATATATGACAATATTAGAAAATACCTACGTAGTATTAATAAATTTATATTGTGATGTTTATATACATGTACTATGTATAGTATATATTATATATGTAATATATAGATTATTGTATGGGCTGCAACTCGTACGTTATTTAGGGTTTGAGCCGCAGCTCACCAACACCGCACCAGGGAATGTAAATAATAAGATAATACAATAAAAAAATAACGGGTGAAATGGGCGCAATACGTTTCCACCAAATAAGATAAAATACCTATACTTTTCATAAGTTTTTCGGATTGATGTAAAATATATATAAATATACACACAATATAATCAATTTATATTGTACATTTATTGTATTTAATTGTATGTTAAACCGTTATCGTACTTATGCATGTAATTTTATGTCCATTAACCATTATAATATCTAAATAATCAAATACTTTATGAACAAGTGTAAAGATGGCACAGTTTAAATAGTGCATTACAACTGCGTGTGTGATAAAATAAAACGTAAATTTTAAAATTTATAAATCTATGATGACTAAAGTTATCGAAAGTAAACGTGGAAATAAAACACTAGTACTAAACAACTTTAAATTTTTTATTGGATCAGTTAACAAATATCAACTAATTATATATATAGTTACAATTTACATAACTAAGGTATCGTATATCATAATATATTATTTTTTCATCTTTTTATATCTGACCATTTTTTTAAATAAAATTTAACATTTTCCAACCTATATTGTATATATTATATAGTGTCTTAACATTTATTGAATTAATAGTATATGTTAAATAAAGTTATATCTGTGCTATAGCTTTTAATTTAAGCGTAGTATACAATTGTTTTGGTAAAAACATGGTCAATATCTCATTTGGTGGAAACGGATATTGGTGGAAAAGGGAATGATACACTTTTGGTGAAAAAGGGAAAGATCTTCTTTTGGTGGAAACGGACATCGCCCAAAAAAACAATGCCCCGCGTACGTACACCGCACAGCTACAATTAAAGACGAAAAATTTACGTTACCGATATTCACAGCATAACGACAAATGCAACACCACGAATCACAAAACTGTTGGTAAAAATTGATCACCTAGAACTAGGGAACACAAATTAGAATACTAATGGCTGTAGTCACATTACCGGACAGTTCACAGGATTTACAAGAAAACGTGGTTTTCACACACTTGAAAACAGGACGAAGACGTTGGACGATGCGAATCACACCAAAGACGGGAGAGAAGAGACAACTGGTTGCCAAACGATACTTGACAACCAGTAGTTTAGATATTAATACGGACTCAGTGTCACCTACATAAATTGAAAACACGCGAAATTATGAAACTTTCGGTGACACTGAAGTCAATGACTCGACAAATACACGAAAGATAACCGACAAAATTTGAAAATGTGCAATAACGACATTTTTATGCGATGATAACAGCGCAATTCAATACCCGGCCGATCGTACACGGAAGCTTATCACCGCCCTCGACAAGGGCTACGGATACGCAACGCACCGCTACGCATCGCGCGAAAATGATGACATGAACAAAATTACAAATAACAATATTAGCGCGAACAATAATAATAATAATATTTGTTGAGCTCTGACCGTCGTCCAGTGTGTTTTCGACACGGATAAGTAAATGTTTCCACGAGAAACGCTGCCAATTTTTTTTTCGCGCGTTTTCTAATTCAATGACGATAACACGTAATCTGTGAAAATCTAGTTAGTAGAGATTTTTGTAGTATTCAGTTTATACGTACCATTAAAACTGCGCAGATTCTGCAAATAAAATTGATGTATTATTCCGAGTTTTACATAATGTCGCACTAACTCCTGGTAAAACTAGCATCACGGTTTCTTTTTGCTCCTT